CAGCTCCAGAAGTCTTAACTTGTCCTGAGCACCAACTCTAAAGCCTAAAATCTTATCTAAAGATCATCTAAATCAGATATGGCTGAGACTGGGATATGATTCATCCTGAGGAAAAATTTCTTTCCAGCTGTGAACTTGGGAAACCAGACAAGTTAGGTATTTCCAAAGTACAATGGTGCCACAGGCAAGACAAATCTGATGAGCTCTCGGGTCTCAGGAACGACCCTTGGGCTTGATGTCCACCTTCCAGGCCACAGCCCTGGCCGAAGGCAGGCATCCCATGACTCCCAGGCTGCTGCCCACCCTCCGGCTCTGAACAGAGGGCAGCTGGGCATTGGAAGCAAGGTCTCAGCCCTGATGACCTCTAAATCATCTTCAGGTTCATTTTTCTCTCTTCAGAAAACAACATGTTTTAGCCACATAGCTCTATAGGCCTGTCCTAGTAAAGCCCAAACAGCTGATGTCCTCTTTCATTTGGTTCTTGTCTCCACTCACTTCGGTTCAAACTGGAGGTATTTCTGTTTAATCCTATAAAATCTTCATCAAATGGCTGTTCAACCAAACTCTTAGCATTTTCTTTTGAATACATTCTCATTTCTTTTCCACATAGGTAGGCTAAAAATTTACCAAATCTTCAAGTTCTAGTTCCATTTTGCTTAACAATTCTTTCCTCAGTTCACCTTTCATATTTTACTCCAAGAAGTCAAGATGAAAGAAGCCACACCTTCAAAACGTTGCTTAGAAATCTCCTCAAGTATTCAATTTGCCACTCAGCGAGTTCTACCTGCCGCAAAACATGAGGGCACAGCTCAGCTGGGTTCTCTGCACAAAGCTGGGTTCTTAGCACAAAGTCCCCCTTTCCTCCACTGTCCACACAAGACATTCCTCGTTTCTGTGCAGGACCCCATCAGAACAGAGCCTACTGCCAGGGTTTTAGCTCAGTGGTTCTGCTGCCTGCCTCGAAAGTGCAAAGTCTCAAGTTCCATCCCTGGTAACAAAAAACCCCCCAAAAAACAAAAAACAAAAAGAATGGAGCCTACTGCCCATAATCCGGAACCCTTCCAGGGTCAAAGTCTCCCTACAGTAGCGCCTCTCTGCTCTAAAACCATCTTACCTCAGGCTACAACATCACACAATTGTTACTTAAGCAACAGAAATTCATTTTCTCAGTTTTGGGGGAAGTTGGAGATCGAGATGCCAGTAGAGCGGTTTCTAGGGAGGGCTCTCTTCCTGGCTGGTGGGCAATCGGGCATCTTCAGTGTCTCCACAGGCAGAGGACAGAGAACCAGCTTCCGGGACTCTCTCACAGAGGCACCACCCCTGTGTTATTTCTTGTCTTTAGATGCACCCCGCCCCCCAATGCCTGATACAGTCATAGTTGGGGCTTTTTCAGAGGTGGCTGCATCTAGAGTATGTGATACTGGGACTGCTTCGTGGTGCAATGCTAGGCTCAAGGGCACTAGGATTAAGGGTGTGAGTGCTGCCCACCCTAAGGAGCCTGGAAAAGATACGAGGGGCAGAAAGAGCTATCATCCTCCCTTGCTTGCTTTGCTACCTTCTCCTCACTATGAAGTGTTTCTCCTCTGCAATGCCCATCTGCCATTCTACCCTGCCTTGGACCCAGGCGATTTTATACTGAAACCTCTACCAACTGTGAGCCAAATACACCTTCCCTCCTTTAACTTGTGGGTGTCGGGTAATGTCTCAGCTACGAGAAAACTAAGACACCTTGTCGTGAAGGTTCCACCCTCATCACCACATCTAAACCCCATGACCCCTGTAGGCCATGACCAGACACCTCAGGTGGGGGCTTCAGGGTATGAATTTGAGGGGGCATGACTAGTCACATGACATGGGTGGCTCAGCAGGAATCTGCCTAGCAGAACACACCTGCTTTCCCCTCGAGGCTGGGAGAGGAGGGTGGAAGAGAACAGAGCCAACAAAGATCCCTTGAGGTGGTGTAGAATGCAAAAGGAATGCAAAGAGATTGCTCTTCTGGGGAGTCTAGATCACTTCAGTAAGTTTATAAATAACGCTGTTATATAATACTTCAAATTCTTTGCAGTAAAGAAAAAAACGAAGAGAACTTTTATAAGACATTATTGGTAAGCTGGGCATGGCACACATCTGTACACAATACCAGCACTCTGGAACCTGAAGCCTCCCTAAACTATGGGTGAGACCCTGTCTCAAAAACCAAAACCAAACCAAAACCAAACCAAAACAAAACACGCCTGGCATGGTGGCATACACCTGTTATCCCAGCACTCAGGAGGCTGAGGCAGGAGGATCACCATGAGTTCGAACCCGGCCTGGGTTACATAGTGAGTTCAAGGCCAGCCTGTACTACAAAGCAAGACCCTGTCTCAAAAACACCCTGAAAACCAAACCAAACCAAACAAGCAACAAAAAAAGACACCCCTTGGTGGGGAAAAAACATTACTGGAAAGACTCAGGATTCTTGGAGAACTCTGAAGCAATTTTAGGAAATCTTAGATCCAGGTTAAACATCTCACACTCTCTTTGAAACACAGCCCCATAGCGAGGTCCACACAGAGAGTGAAATAAAGGTTTAACAGTTGGGGCCGGGGCTTGGGTTTGGACTAGGAAAGCAAAAGTATGAAATGGAAGATAAAATTAACCATCAGGTACTCTATTCCTGGACCTAAATGTTGAATGAGTTTAAAAATCATCAGAACAGCCAGGTGCGCTGTGGCTTGAGTTCAAAATGCACGGTGAAGTCACTGTGCCGGGAAGATGTCAGACAGGACAATGGGGAGACTACCTGACCTCGCAGGCCTCTCCAGTACGAAACCCACTGTGGTGGTTTCCAGAATTCCTGTATGTGCTGCTGCCAGATAAGGACAAGGGCCTGTCATTACATGACTAAGGGAAGTACTGCCAGCCTGGGAGCTGAGATAGCAGAAGCTGGAGAGGTTAATGCAAAGGAACTCAGGTCACCTGGAGCAGGGGGTTAGGGAAGGGGCTAGGCAAGGGCTGCAGGGAGAAAGTGATAAAAGACAGCAGCATCATTGGAGAGGGTTGGGGGATAAAGCAGGTGCTTTTGTAGAAGGCAGAAGAACACTCCAGCTGAGGAAAAAGAAATCAGGTCAAACCAAGTGTAGCAGTGCACATCTGTAGTCCCAGCTCTCGGGAGGCTGCGGCAGGAGGATCACTGTGAGTTCCTGGCCAGCCTGGGCTACACAGTGAGTTGAAGACCAGCTTGGACTACATAGCAAGACTGTCTCCCCCTAAAAAAGAAACCAGGTTATTCAAAGTCCTAGGAAAGGGAAGGGAGGGGGGGGGGGGAGAGAGAGAGAGAGAGAGAGAGAGATCATGCCGGGAAAATAAGGGGAGGAAGGACCCAGAAGACAAGTCCAGGGCCTGGGATTTAGCTCAGTGGTTCCACCTTGAAAGGACCCTAGTTTGATTCCTGATACCAAAAAAAAAAAAAAGACAAATCCACAGGGAAATGAACAAGAACTAGAAAATCCAGAAAAGCAGCTGATAGCGGAAAAGGACAGTCAAATTTAAAGAGCTCAGTTTATCCAGTGGTCAGCACAGAACAGATGCAAATACTTGAACAGTAAAAACACTGCTTAATCCTCACACACACCGAGCCCAGGACTGAGGAGGGCAGAACCCGAGATTAATATGGTGAGACAATAAAGTCCATATAAAAAATCTAAAATCCAGAAAGTGGCGATATGGGTGAGCCACAATTTAAAACAGGGATGACCTTCAGCTCTGTGAGGCCCATGAGATCATATCCATATTCTACTTATATTTTTCTGGAGAAAGAGTCAAGAGCTTTTAAAAAGAATTCAATATGAGTTCATGAGGAAATGATGTATTACTGAGCCTGATATCTACGTTGAGAAAGGATTAGCAGGAATTCTTACAGTCAGCTTAAGAGATTCAAATAAAATTGAGGGCAAAGACATTTTGTTGAGTTTTATATGCAGGTTATAGGCTCGGTATATTTACATACTAGCTGAATTGCTATCTTTCGGCCATCAGTATTATCTGTCTGATCACACAACAAATGCCTCAGAGACTTAGCCCTATGCTTTATTTTCTTTATATTGTAATTCTCCACCCCCTCAAAGCAATTTTTATGTACATTCTCTCATTCCTTTTCCTAACGTTGTCTTGCAAAGTTATGAAGACATCAAAGGCACTTAAAGCTCTCTGGCTGAGCTTTTCTCAACAAATGTTAACTCTTGGATATTGGCTACATTCACTCACTGTAGTCCTTTAAACTAGGGGGAACAAATCGTCCTCTTTCAGATGACTTATCCATCCCAACAGAAAGAACCGGACACACCAGGGCAGCACGAGAACCAATCCGGAAGTTTCCTGCGTGGAACTCCGACAGCGAAAGTCCACAGAAACTGGCTTCCTGATCACCCTGCCAATGACCTGTGCTGAATTTTAAAACATTATTACTTTTCTGTCTTTGTGAAAACAAACCCGCCAGCACGTATTTGCTGTTTCTTCCCTAATCACCCTCCACCTCTTGAGACACAGCACTGAAAACCCGAGAGGTACGAGCTCCCTTGGGTGAGCTCTTTTACAAGTTGGTTTAAATGACCACGATGACAAAACCCACGCCCCAAACAAACCCACACAACGCAACCGCGCGGGCAAGCAGGATCTAGAGGTGGGAGGGAACACTAAACAATTTTTAAAAATGCTTTTAAAGAATCAGCATTTGCGCAGTTAAGCCAAAGCTGACTTGAACCCTCGCACACCTAGGACCTCGTGTACTTTCTGCTCCTCCCTGAGGAAGAGGCTGGGAGGCACGGGCAGGCTGACAGTAGAAGCCCGGGGGCAGCTCTGTAAAAGCCAGCACAGCGAGGGCTGCAGAAGGGCCAAGGTCACGGGACGCCCGGGGGCGGGGCAGGGAGGGGTGGGGGAGGGGAGCGGGGAGGGTTAAGGTTAAGAAGCGGGTCAGGGTCCCCACGCCCCGCCCCCGGCGCCCCCCCCCGCGCCCCTACCAGGCGGAGCAGGCAGCCCCACAGCAGGGCGGCCGCGGGCCCGGGCGGCCTCGGCCGCGCCCCCATGGGCTGTGGGTCGGGTGGGCGCGGGACTGCGCGCGGTGCTCGGCTCGATCTGCCCGGGGCTCGGCGGCGCTGCTCGGTGGCCGGCACGGCGCGACTTCCTCTTCCGGCCCCGCCCTGGGCGCGGGAAACCCCGCGTGGGCTGGGCGCCCACAGGCGGCGACGGGATGGGGCGGCCCAGGGACCTGGCCACGGGCGTCGGGCCCCTCCCGCGGCCCAGCACCGCTGCGCGCTCAGGGCTAGACCGGCTCCCCGCGAGGGACTGCGAACGCAGGTGACAAAGACAAAAATTAAAGCCAGGAAACAGTTTGCTCTGCTGAAGCACAAGCTTGTGGATCAGACCACGTCCCTGCACCGTTTGGGGCCGAATCCGAACTGTCCCGGGCTTCCTGGGCCCCGACAGCGCGAGGTCGCGGTCCCCGCACTTCCCACGCTCCAGCCTGACGCAGCCCGCTCGCTTAGGCCAGGACGTGGTTTAATTCTTGCATAGCACTTTGCACTCACTGTGTTGTATTCTCTTGCTGATCCGTCTGTCCATTTATTTTGTTTTGTTTTGAGACAGGGTCTCCCTATGTAGTTCAGGCTGGCCCTGAACTCACTGTGTAGCCCAGGCTGGCCTGGAACTCCTGGAGACCCTCCTGCCTCAGCCTCGTATTAATTATGACGCTGCCTCCCACTTGCTAGAATGGGTGCCGTGTTTGCTTGGTGTCCCCAACACCTGCAACACGGGGCAGTGTTCAGTCCTCACGTGCGTGTGAGAGGGACAGTGTCCTTGCCACCCCACCGCTCCAGGGAGGCACACACCGCCTAGGCTGAATTGTGACTCTAGGATGCTATGGAAGGGACAAAGTGTGTGTGGGGGGGCTAAGTGGGGTGCCCAGAAAATGCCAGCCTGAACGGAGTCTTGAAGGGGAGCTAATTTCAGCAGAGGGCTGAGTGTCCAAGCCAACGGTGGCCCTGGAGAAGCCACCAAACTCGTGCTGGGCTGAAGGTCCCAGAGGTGACAGGTGAAGTTAGAGGAGAGGCGGAGGCCAAATCCCAGATCCTCGGGCCCGCTGGGCCTGCGGCCTCCGAGCCGTGCAGGGTGGCGGCGGGTGAGTAGGGCTGCTGTTATGGGAGCTCTCTGTGGTTGGCGGATGGGTTGGAGCAGGGCAGGAAGGGGAGGCTGAGGGACCTGGCGGACCAAGCGGAGACCTCTCCACACAGGGCCAGCGGACAGAGTGGTGGAGGGAGGCCCGGCCTGCAGAGGCCTCAGGTCCTTCCGGGCTCTGGAGGCCCCGGGAAAGCAGAGCGCGGCGATCCTTCCTGCGGGACGCGGCAGGCGAGTGTGCCTGCTAGCAGTCGAGCGGGCCCCTCTGACGCCCAGGGCCAAGCTTGCCGGCTGCCTGGGGAGCCACACCCCCACGGGAAAAGCGGGTGACTTCGTCTCCAGAGTCCTCTCCCCTCCAGTGCAGCCTGTGGCCCTCTGGCCGCCAGTCGCCTCGCTGTCCGGCTGAAGACCAGGCCTCGCCCGCCTGCGTTTCCCTCCCCTCGCCCGGCAGCCGCGCCTGTCTGTGCCCTGGGCCGCTTCCGCGGGCACTGTCTCTGCCAGTGGGGTTTTCGGCTCAAAAATGCGGACAGCGTTCCTGTTTTGCTGCCTCACAGGGTCCTCGTAAACCTGTCACGACTCGCACCAGGCGGAAAGTCACTCGCAGATGGAAAGAAAAAAGGAGGGGGATAGAAAGAGAAGAAGAAAGCAGGAGGCTCCGTCTGTCCTAATTCTTCTTCCACGACGCTTTCTCCTTGGTCAAAGTCCCTATGCAGGAGGAAGGAAAGCAAAGCGAAAGGGAAAAGACGCTTGCTGGTTTGGCCTGGTGAGGTGGTGTATGCCTGAGATCCCGGCACGTCGAGCCTTGTTTCACACACACCCCCCATCTCGTTTAATGACTTGATTTCTGGAGAGGCTGCCAAGAGCTCGTTTGGATATACTTTTGTACCTTCGGGGATTACATGGGTTGAAGGGTGCCTGGGTATCTCTTAGAAAGTATTTTTCTTCTCTGCAGAAACTATATATAAAGCCTAATTGTAGAAACTCATGCTACATTGCAGATCCATTTGATTTGTAAATATATTTAGTTTTTTTTCCCAATGATTAAAGAGCCTTATTTCTTGTCAGACTTCTTTTTTTTTTTTTTTTTTTTTTTTTGAGACAAGGTCTCACTATGTAGTTCAGGCTGGCCTTGAACTCACAGTGATCCTCCTGCCTCAGCCTTCCATGAATCCCCCTCAAAATCCTCCCCCTTGCCTTGAACACATTTATCCCATGTTCTGGTCACTTTCTGCCCCTGCTCTGGAGTCCTCTTTTCTGAGTGATCAAAAATACAGTGAGTGCTGCTGTTGAGTGCCATCTAAGGGAAAGGCAGCTCCTAAAAACACGACGCTGCGTCCTCATCCATGGTCTGGCACCACCGTGTGATTTCTGACTCATCCCCAAAGTCAAAATGCCTGTGAAAGTTCAAAGTTTTGAACAGATTCGGGACATCGAGGCAGCCACAACCACACAACTCAGGTGCGTGTGAGCACACGCGCACAGTGTCTGACCTGCCCTGTTTGTCACAGTCCCAGACTGTAAACAGCCGGCTGTGGTCAAATGGCTTGGCCCCGGGTTGCTGCACTGTGGGGTGTGAGGTCGAGGTTCATTCCCAGGGGCCTGGTGGGAGGCTGCTAGGTCTCGGGGTTTGCTTGGGGAGGGATTAGTGCTCAGTGTGGGGACCCCCGCTTAGGTTAGGAGTAGGTTGCCACCAAAGACCAAGCCGTTGCTCCCTCTGTGGGCCCCTCCCCCGGCCTCTCTGGCTTCCTCCCTGGTGATGTCCCTTCCTTGTACCAGGGCTCCGGCTGCTGTGCCATCTGCCACAAGGTCCTCCTCCGGGCTGAGCTGACCTACACACCTGTGAGCTAAGTAAATTCCTTTATAAAGTCACCTGGCAGGGTGTGGTGGTGCACAGCAGTAATCCCAGCACTCGGGAGGTTGAGGCAGGAGGATCGCCTTGAGTTCCAGGCCAGCCTAGACCATATAGTGAGCTCAAGGAATTTTTTTTTCTCAGTACTAGGGATCAAACTCAAGACCTTGCATTTGCCAGGCAGATGCAGTGCTGAGCTACATCCCTGGCCCTCAAGGACATCTTGAACTATGTAGTGCCTCTTTCAAAAAACAAATAAAATAAAATAATAAAGTAACTTGGCCTCAAGTATTTCATTATAGTAATGGAAATGTGAACAATAAATAATCCAAATATTCACCAACAGGTGAATAAAAAATGCAGCAGCTCCTACAAACTACTGTGATGCACATAATGAGGTAGATTATCTCAAAATAATTAATCTCAGTATATAAAGCCAGATTCCCCTCCAAAATCATGTGCTGTGTTACTTTTATTTGTGTGTAATTTCGGAAATGCTCTCTCCTCCATAGTTATTAGGAAGAGCTCAGTGGCTCCCTAAGGCTGAGTTTGGCAGATGAAGGGACTCATTTGCACACATGAGCAACAAACACATGTGTGTGGATACTAGGGTGTGCAAGAAAGTGTTGGAGGATGATAGAAATATTTATGAACTTGTTATGTGTACGTGCATGAGTGTGGGACTGACAACTGAACCCAGGGGTGCTCTTCCACTGAGCTACATCCCAACCCTTCTCAATTTTATTTTGAGGTCTCCCTAAGTTGCCCAAGGCTTGCCTCGAACTTGCAACTCTCTTGCCTCAGCCTCCTGAGTAGCTGAGATTGGTATTTATTACCTGGATTGAGGTAATGTTTGCACAAATGTGTGCTTACATTAAGAGCTCATTAATTTATAGGCTTTAAATGTGTGCAGTTTATTGTATGCTAATTAATCCTCAATAAAGGTGATTAAAAAGTAATAAATGATACTGGATTAAAGTATTAATTCCAACCTCATCACAAAAAGATTCCTATCTGACCCAGAGCAGGGCTAGAATACATATAGACGGAGTCTGGTTATGCTACCAAGTCTCGGCTCAAACTCCTGGGCTTATGTGATCCCTCTGCCTCAGCTTCCCAAGTAGGTGGGACTATAGGTGTCACCACAGCAGCCAGCTTGGGCCTTCAAAAGCTCCCTGGGTAATTCTGCTTGCATCCAGAGTTGATCATGACTGGTAGTGAGAAGTCAGCTCTTTATTGCTGAACTCTAAGAATTTCCAGGAGTTTTCAGCCCTAGGAGCTATGGACCAGATCTCATTTATTTTTCCTTCCATCAAAGTAGGGGGAAAGTATCCCACTTATTTCCTTTAAAATTTTTTAAATTAACAAATATATATATATATATTTACGGGGTACAATGTGATGTTACAATGCATATAGTCATTATAGAGTGATCAAATCAGGCTAATTAACATTCCATCACCTCAAAGACTTAACAGTTCTTTGTTATGAGAATTTTTTTTTTGTACTGAGGATGGAACTCAGGACCTTGTGCTTGTGAGGCAGGTGGGGCGCCACTGAGCTACATCCCCCGCCCTGTGATGAGAATATTTAATACCCACTCTTTCAGCTATTTTGAAAAATACAATATATTTTTATTAACTATAATCCCTGGCATGGAAAAGATCATGGCACTTATTGCTCCTAACTGAAACTTGCTACCCTTTGACCAACTGTATCAGCCACTGGTCATTCCCATGCTATGCAGAACTTCTGCAAGGTCTGCTTTTCCCCAGATTGTGTGAGATTTGTCTTCCTGAGTCTAGCTTATTTGACTGAATGTAATGTTCTCTAGGTTCATCTGCATTGTTTTAAATGATACGGCTTCTCCTTTGTAATGGCTGTATAGTATTTCACCCTGTTCACCGATCTGTTCATTTGTTCTGATTGCTTTGGTTGCTTCCAAGTCTGGCTGAGCCGAATAGCACTGGAGGGAGCATTCTGATTTCAGTCCTGTGGATATTTGCTCAAAGTGGGATGGCTGAGTGGCCCCGGTTTTGGTTTAGTGACTGTGTCACTGGGGTGTGTCCCCATGATTCTCAGAACACAACTTCTAGGGGACAAGGTGCTCATTACTTTTAGTGAAAAGAATTCATGTCACCAACTCAATCCCAGTAATTTTCTTGTCCCCAGATGACACCGATGTTCGGAGCTTCCCAGTATTGTTTTTCTGTGGGGCCTGTCGGGGCTTGGTTACGCACTTTCCCCTGGGACACTGTTCATGAGGTTGCTTACATGAGGCTCAGAGAGGCAAGCTTCAAGCTGTGGTCCTGTCACTGCCTCCTGTCAGCCTGCCCACCCTTACTTATGCCTGTGCCTTGTTTTGGTTTGCTTTTTTGAGACAGGGTCTCACTATGTAGTCCAGGCTGGTCCTGAACTCACAGCGATCCTCCTGCCTCAGCCTCCATGCCGGCTTTATTACTACTCTTGACAGAGTGGTCTCCCTTGTACTGTATCAGAGAAACACAGCAGGCATGACCTGGGCTAGAGTGGGATGAGGGGAACAGCAGAGAGCTCCAAAGAGGAGTATGCAGTACGTAGGAAGATGAGGGAAAAGGTGTTACTCCTGTCACAGCTGGGGACAGCACATGTAACCCAAGAGGCCCGAACAGCATTCAGGCCCGCTGGCCTTCTCTCAGGGAGCCTTAAGCTCCTGAGAGCTGTTGGCACACAGGCCCACGCAAGGTTTAATGTCGTCTCAGAAACTATTTCTGTCCTTTTTGCTGCTTTGTTAAGTACTTTACTTTGTCTCATTTAATTCATTGAGCCAATTTCATGGGGTAAATTTTACTCCTGTCTTATAGATGGGAAGATTAAGCATGCAAAATCTTCCCCAAAGGTCTGGAGCAGGAATTTAAATACAACCATCTGGATTCCCTTTTTATCATTTTGTAGATGCTCAGCAGCTGTTCACTAAACAAAGACACTTTTGCCAATTATTAAAAAGAAAGACTGTGCTGGATTTTTGTTTTTGTTTTTTTTGAGACAGGGCCTTGCTTTGTAGTTCAGGCTGGCCTTGAACCCACTACTGAGCCCAGGCTGGCCTTGAACTCACGGCAGGCAAGCCTCCTGCCTCAGCTTCCTGAGTGCTGGGATTACAGGTGTTCACCACCACGCCCAGCAGTTGTGGTCTTCATATGACTTGTGCCTCTCTTCTACTATGACTCTAAGAACTAGCACCTATGCAGGGAAAAGCAATTTTCAACCAACAGGACATGCAAACAATAGCTCCTACTGTACATGTAAGAGAAATAAGGGGTTTTTTAATGAGAGGCCAGCGCTCTGATTCAGCAAGAACATTACAATGTTCAGGGCAACCCCCTACGCCTGTGCTGAAAACCTAAAATGTACAATTCAGTTTTCTCTTTACCAAGCTTGGGCACTGTCAGGAACCCTTGCTTTCTGTTTATCATTAACCACATGTGGCCTCCATGTCCGGGGTCCCTGCCAGAGATGGCTGCGATAGAGCCACGATCTGGCAGTGGCTGGGATAGCGTCAGCATATGACCGCCGGTAAGTGCAGCCAGTCATTTCTGGGACAGGAGCTTAAATTCATGTGGACAGAGAGAGGTGACCCCTTGTCATGAGATACAGATCCCAGATTTAAAATTCAGTAACCAAAGGGTGATGCTCAGGAAATAAGGAAGGGGCAAGAAATATTTTACAACTCATGAGGATAAAGAGCAGTATATGTTCTTGAAATTCGCTATTTCTTCAAGTGTGATGTGCATAGAGGAAAGTGTGCATTTTGGAAGTGTACTCTTCGATGCATCTTCACCAACTGGACACACCTGTGTGACCAGCATTATGGGCTGGGAGTGAGCACAGGGGCAGAGTGTGTGCTTAGTATGTGCAAGGCCCTGAGTTCAGTCCCCAGGTAAAGAAGAAAAAAGAAAAGAGGAAGACCTGGATGTGGTGCCGCACACCTGTGAGCCTAGTACTCAGGACGCTGAGGCAAGAGGATCACCAGGAGTATAAGCCCAGCTTGAACTACATATCGAGACCCCATCTCCAAAAATAAAGACCAAAAGAAAGACTGTGTTGTTAGCTCCTCAGATGTCCTCTCGTTTCCCTCTCTAGTTACTATTTGCTTTTCCTGATTCCTATAGCACCTACTGGTTTTGTCTTTTCTTAAACTCTAGGTTAATGGGATCTAACAGCTGGTTCCCTTTTGTG